AACAAAATATAAATGAAAATAGAAGGTCAGCCCTAAAATTTTTTATGCCACCGAGAATCTGACAGACTGTGCTTTACCCCTAATCATTTCTCCATTAATTTAAAAATTCCAATTAAAGCTAGTGATTAATCATTTTTTTTTAATAATTGAGATTATTATTTATAAAGTAAACAGACTGAATTTTACCTCTCTGACCTCGCCTTCAGTTATTCGACCGTCTTCGTTCTTGTCTACCCTGTAACATGTTATCAAGTCAATCCATACGGTGGGTTTGAACCACATTATTTTGGAAGAATATATTTTGAAATAGTAGATTGATAAAAAATATATGGTTGAAAAAGAAGGAAAAGTTATTGATGTAATGGAAAATANGGTGTGTTTGAACCACATTATTTTAGAAAAATGTATTTTAGAATAGTGGATTGATGGAGAATGTGTGGTTGAAAAAGAACGAAAAGTTATTGATGTGATGGAAAATATTATTTTATTGAAAAATATGTGGTTGACAATAAGTAGAAGAATTAGAATGAAAATTTTAATGTGGCTCAAACATGGGCTTTATATCACCAAATCTTCGTTAATAACGAAACATGCATCATTTAAGGTGTGTTTGATGTATATTATTGAGAAAAAATGTATTTTAACTAGTGATATGATGTGAAATATGTGGTTAAAAAATAATAAAATATTATTGATGTGGTGGAAAATATTATTTTATTGAAAAATGTGGTTGAAAATAAGTTTTGAAATAATATGTGTCGACTTAACTATCTGTATTTTACTAAATTATGAAGAATGACTCAATCGACAGCTCTGTAAACTCAATGATGATATGTACGGTGAATAAAGTGACACATAATGCTTACATGTCGAAGAAAATCTGGAGCCTGGAATCGAAACTTTGATCTGTAATTTGTGACCAAAATTCGTAGAGTTCATCTATGCTAATCTTCTCCATCTGTATCCTACGCCTTCTGCTTAATGCATCAAATAATTCCAACGCAAATTCTTCGGAATCTCTCATTCCTAAAAGGAAAAAGTTCAAATGAATAATGTAAAAAGCTTTAACGAGCATTTAAGTTTGAGATCGAAAATGTCACTGACCTATGCATTTTGCAAAATCAGAGCGGTAAAGGAAACCATCTTTTGCAAGCTTATTGAAATTGTTCTGAACTTCATTCCAGTCATTTGTTTTACTTTTATTGATAAACTTGAGTCCTCGGAGAGCTTTATGTGCGCCGGTGCTAGTCCGATCAAGCTGCGCACGTTGCCGGCGCATTGCTCGTGCCGCCAGCGCCAACTCTATTCCACCACCTCCGTCTTCAGCGCCACCGTTAAGAACACGTGTCGCATGCCCGTGACTCCATGAAAATCGCTTCAATTCAGACTTCAGATCCTGCGAAAACTGCTTTGCTTTTGCTACTGCTTCAGCTTTCAAGTCCTGAGACAATTGTCGGAGCCTACTGGAAGAGCTCCGGCGTATAGTTGGTGACCGGGAAGCTGACGTCGAAGCCGGTGTCGGCGTTTCAATTCCGGCGTTACCAGGAACAACGTCATTGCCAGAATCTATGTTAATGAACGTTGCAAGTTCAACACTACGTACGATTATTGTATCATCATCCTGGAGATCAAGAGTGACCTCAACAAACTCCTCGGCCGGATTTACCGAACCTCCTGAATCCGTTCCCGGCGATGATCCTTCACTGTAAACCGACTT